TCCCACAAGACTTCCTTCACTGTAAATGACAATGCCAAGTTCAGATTGTCACCTGTGGTTAGGAGTAGTGGCTATAAATCAGAGTCCTCTTGACTTCCTCCTTGATCATTTCCTAGAAAGGCTCCCAGAGCTCAAGAAAACAACTTAGTTATAGATTACTAATGTATCACAAAAGAAATTTAAAACTCAGGAACAACTGACTTGCTCCAATGGAAGAGATGGGTAGGGCAACTTATGTGTGAAGGGGAGAGGGATTTCCATGACCTCTTGGAGTGTACCACCTTTCCAGGACCTGCATACACTTGCCTACCCAGAAGCTCCTCTAACTCAGTTCTTCTGAGGTTTTTTGAGGCTTGACTACATTCAATCGTTGGTTATTGGCAGTGAAGTCAACTGAATCCTTTCCCTTCCCCTTCCCAGGGTGGAACTGAAATTGGCAACTCTGATTACCTGGTTGGTTTACCTGACCCTGCAGGGCCTCCCTAAAGTCACTTTATTAATGTGAACTCAGGAGTGATTGAAAGGTATTTGTTTTGGAAAACATAATGTGCTTCATTTTTATCACTCCTCAGAAATTCCAACGATGTCAGAAGCTTTATGCCATGACATGACTTAATATATTTATCATAAATTATATCACACAAATGATTACAATTACTATGACTTTAAAAGAAGTCAATCAGGTTCTCTCCCACTGTGAATTTCATGTGGGAACTCAGAGAATCAGGCAGGTGGCAGTGGTGAAGGATGCTGGGAGACAAAGTAGGTAGAAATCTTGAAGACCTAGGGGGAGGCAGAGAGTTCATGAACACAAACCAAACCACAAAGGAAATACTTCAAAGAATCAACAAGGAGATCTCATCTTATTAAAAAGTTTTTGCATGTCAAAAGAAATCACTAACAGTAAAAAGAAAATGTACAAACTGAGAAAAAAATCTTAGCCAACTGTCCCTTGGACAAAAGACTTCTATGTGGAACATATAAAGAATTAAAAAAAAATCAGTCCCCAAAATTCAAAGACCCAGTTCAAAAATGGGCATCTGAGATGAATGCACATTTCTCAGATGAAGAAATACAAATGACAAACAAATGTATGAAAAAATGTTCAGCATCATTGGTCATTTGAGAAATGTAAACTGAAACAACACTGAAATTCCATCTCACTCCTGAAAGAATGTCTGTCATCAAGAAATTAAATTTTGGCTGTGCTGTGGAGAAAAAAGTATGCTTCTCCACTGGTGGGAATACAGACTGGTGCAATCACTGTGGAAATCAGTGTGGAGATTCCTCAAAAAACTAGGATTAGAGGTTCCATTCAACCCAGCTATTGCCCTTCTGGGTATCTTCCCAGAAGAATTACAAACATCATACTACAACGAAATATATGCATCTATGTTTATAACGGCACAGTTTGTAACAGCTAAATCTGGAAAATGCGTATAAGCTGAGGAATGGATAAAAAAGATGTGTTATTTTTATACACTGGAGTACTACTCAGCTATAAAGAAAGATAAATTCGAGGCCTTTATAGTAAATGATGCAACTAGATAACATAAGTTAATTAAATCAGACTTGAATGGGTAAATATCATATTCCCTAGTATAAAAAACTGAAAAGTAAATAAAATCCTAAATCTACAATAGATATTGTGAAAAGGAAAGAAAATGCCTGAAGGCAAAGAACAACTGGGATGGGGGAAAAAAAGAAAGAATGAAGGGGAAAATGTCTATGTATATACACAAGATGCCTAATGTAATTGTACTACTAGTCCATTAGTTCATGGAGAGAAAATGTGAGTGCTTATATTGATTGATCTGTTTTGCATACTGCATCTTGAGCAGCTATTTCCAAGATAAAAATATGTAATATAGTGACCATTGTTAATTTCTTATCATTCTGTTTTAAAATTCTCTATCATTTTTATTATTTTGTCTGTTACTGTTTTGTTTTCATTTAAACTCTATAAAATAAAAATTTTAAAATCATTTTTTTAAAAAGCTTGTAGCTTCAGGACAGAAACTCAGTCAATTTTTAAAAAATTTCCTTAAACACAGAGTAAGCCTTGGCCATTTCCTTTTACTTATAAATGGGCCTTTGTGACTCACTTTTACCTGCAACTGGGTATTTTTATTTGTGAATAGACCATCCTTTTAAAATGAGGCATTATTTGTTTGTGCGTGGGTCACCCCCCAAGACAGGAATTTTCTGTAGACATTCCATCAAAGCTGAATAAATATTCCTAACCCCAAACAGTAAAATGGCTCTCCCACTTCCCCCTCTTCTGGCCCACATTCTATTTCTTTGAGTGTGTACTTTTCTAGTTTTGCCTAATAAATCTCCCTATACCTCTTACTGATGTGTCCTGACAACTCTTTTTCTGGGATGGAAGTCAGGAAAGCCGTTCTGAGGGTGAGTGGGTCACGGTTCTCCACCTCTGCTTTGGGAACTTCTTTGCACATCATCATGGCACTATCTTGGCACCCAAGGCTTATCTTGAAGTCTTCCTTTCAGTATGAATGCACTCATCACCTAGGGGCAGCTTAACATTCCTCTAACCATTGGACCTACCAGTTCCACTACAGAGAACAGCTCCCTCCATAAGGGAATTCTGCCAACTTCCTTCGACACAAGGTTAAGAAAAGAGAATCTGAAATCCAAAGTAGAATTAAAGTGCTTTTCCATTCTTCTTGTGGTCCCTATACTGCTTTCCTTGGGAGAGGAAATATAGTTTCTACCCAAAGCGGCAAGTCCTCTCTTGAAGTGAGGCTGCTTGACTTGGAGGAACCTTGCCAGGCTGATATTGTCAAGGAAGTTGCACACATTTCCATAAAAGCATCTTTGAATCATTTGGAATTAGCCCATCATAAGAATGAGTAATTATGAAATTTGAGGCAACCCATTCATTCCCTAAGATTTCAGATTTCAGATCAGAAGATAGGATTGAGATATGGACCTAAAGGGAAATAAATTTTCGTTATGACCCTTAAGTCCAATAAGCAGCATGGAACCTGCAACAGTAATTTAAAGTTTAAGAGAAGTAAAAGAAACTTGAATGTTAGTACGAGGTAACAGATTCAAACAAGCAAATGACTCTGCAGTAAAAAATATACCAAGCACAAAACCAAATGGACAAAAAATTCCAAATCACAAATGTGTGCTAGAAGCCCTTTCCCAGAGGGCATCCTGTTCCAGTGCAGAAGGAGCCAGGCTTATCTGCAACTTCAAAAGTGCACACTCAAATTACAAAGAATAAAAGACCCAAATATTTACAGATAGTTCAAGCTGATTGATTGGTGAAAAATAATGAGGGGAGGGGTCTCCCAGATGAGCCCCCAAATGTTGTACCCCAAAACAAGCCCCCGTGACGTTGTCTGTTGTCAAGAAGGGGGCAAGATGTCTTTTAAACAAAGTGCTTTTATTTAAGCTGGTACCAGCGGCACAGTGCAGATGGAGTTTGCAAAGCTGTGCAACTGGGATAGAATTTTGACAGATTTTTATAGCTCCTTTATGATTTGCTCATTGACCACTAAGTACATATTGACGAGAAACAGAAACAAGGTGGGCCTTTGTTCCCCTTTGCTTGAGGTCAGAGGCATTTCACAGTGGGTGGTTAGCCAATTCATAGCCCTTGGTCTGCCAACTCCAGGAACATTTGTCTCTCACAAAGGGAACAATGGTTGACACAGCATCATTTGTCTCTTACAAAGGGAACAAAGGTTGACATAGCAAATAGGTTACTCAGGGGATGACGCATACAGGACAGCATGACAACGTAGTTAGTTAATCTATACCTATGTAGTTGATGCTTCAATTATGTGGTTACTAGGGTAATAAGCACAGCACAGAATACAACAAAAGTGACACAGTTTGGCTGTTGGCCCTTTGTACCTTTGTGTCCCAGTTCCTTCCTACACCTTTAATTTTGTCCCTGATGAAGAATGCAGTAAAATGTGATTCTTGGATTTTGGTACATAAACATACATGGTCCTAGAACAGAGATTCTCAACCATTTGGCAATGTAGGGAAATAATTTTGATTATTATAATTAGTATCTGCTACTGTGGGCATCTAGTGGGCAGAATTCATAGAAGCTGCTAAGCATTCCACAATTTAGTAGACAGACCCCACAAAAAGAATTAGTCTAGTGGTGCATGCATATCACCCTAGCACTCTGGGAGGCTGAGACAGGAGGATTGCAAGTTTGAGACTAGCCTGAATTGCTTAGTGACTTAGTCAGATCCTTTCTTAAAACAAAAAGTACAAAATCAAGCCAAAGTAAAACAGAACCTATCAGAGACATAGTTCATTGGAAAGGCACTAGGTTCAATCCTCAGTACCTGAGACAAAACCAACTGACCAACCAAACAAACAGAATTCCATCTGAAATGTTAACAGTGCTGTGATTGAGAAAACTGGCAAAACTAGACAAGAAGCAGAGAATTTCTATTGATTTGTTTTTCAATTAAGCAATCACTCTCTGTGACCTATTTCTTCCACCCAGGTCTCTAAGTTTCTATAGCTTCCCAGTGGTACCACTCGCTGGGGACTAAGCTTTCCGTACATGAGCTTTTGGGGGCTTTTCAGATCCAAACTAAAGCAGTGCATATTAGCCAGTGTGTTTATTTTCTAAAGTTCTGAGATTTCATGAAGCCATATTATTAAAATAGCCATCGCTGGTTTTTTCAAAACCTGTGTTAAAGGTCTATATAGAAACATGTAATGCAGAGGAACCTTTGTTCTGAGTGTTTGCTATGGTTTGCGTCTGGAAGTCCCTCAGAGGCCCATGTGTTAAAGATCCTGCCCTTGGTGGGCCATTCTGGGGAGTGGTGGAACCTTTGAGAGGTGAGGTTTAGTGGGAGGATGTGGGGCCACTGTGGGGGTGATCTTGAAGGGCTGTTAGGATCCTGACCCATCTGACTTTCTTTCTGGCTCTGGCCGCCATGAGGTGAGAAGCCCTCCTCTACTGTGTGCTCCTGCCACCATGAACTGTGCTTCCACAGGTCCAAAGTAAGAAGACCAAGCAACCGTTGGCTGAAATCTTTGAAACCATGAATCAAAAGAAGCATTTTCTCCTTGTAAGTTGATTCTTATGTCTTGTATAGCACAGTGTTGGCCCTCATTTTGCTTCACTAATCCATCCTTTGGTTCTTTACCTGTCACCTTGATAATCTAGGAAGTGTGAATTCCCTCTGTGATTCTGTCCTGCTTCGATTCCCAGTTTGCCAAACTTCTTAGTGTGTTTCAGTTTTGTTTTGTTTGGTTTTTTGAGATGGGGTCTCACTTTCTAGTGCAGGCTGGATTTGAACTCACAGAGATCCTTCTGCCTCATCCATTGAGTGCTGGGATTACAGGTATGCGCCACTATGCTCAGTACTCAGTGTGATTTAGATACACTGCTCTTAATCGTTTCACAGTTTGAACGCTGTATTCCTCTGAACCATCTGATATTTTAAAGTTATCCTCTCCACAGGTAGCTACAAACATTCAACTCTTATTCATTCTTCTAGAAGGCTACTATAACATTAGACAGCTTTACTTCACAAAGAAGTCTTCTTCGTCTACTTCACTGAGAAGTCTTCTTAGATATCCACAGTAGGTAACAGAGTCTGCGGCTCACCTAGTAATTCCTGGGTTAAGTGAGACATGTTGCTTCACAGTTTGTCTGAAAACGTCTTGACAAACAATTTTACTAAGTAACCTTAGCAATTTAGTGGCAAAAATCTCTTTTATTCTCATTTGTTCAAACTACAGTCTGGGATGTGATGAATTCTGTGTGAACATCTGTACATCTAGAAACTTACAACACAGTGAATATACATTAATAAGGAATTGGAGACTGCACTCCTGGTATTTTTCAAGGTCTAAGGCGTGTAGCACAGAAGCAGCTGCCTAGTGAGTTTGAAAGTAGAGTTTCAAGCAGTGCTTTTGATCAGCTATCATTTTCAGTGTTGTCTCAGAGTAGCTGAATGTCACTGTCTCCTTCCTAAAGGCTCCATTTGGATCTCAGTTTAAATGCATTTTAAAAGGTTCTTACTTTTCCACGTATTTAAAACACATACCTTCTCTCTCACCCATTAATAGCTTTGCAAGCCCGCTCTCTTATTCCTCCATTTTATTTTCTATTTAAGAGGATCACATTTATTTACTTATACAGTCATCTATTATTCCAACACACTAAAATGCTTTTTGAAATAAGCTTCTTTGACACAACATAAGCAGTTTAAGATATGTGCATGTTAGTGTGTGTACTGGGCTGTTTCTATCTAATTTACAAAGAAAATTTCCCTTTTTTCCCCTCCGTCTTTCCAGTCCTTTTCTATTTCCTTCTTACTTTTACTCTTGACTTTGGATATCAACTATATAAAAGTGGATTAGTCTTGATACTTGTTTTGTAATATGTTATCATCAGACCCATACTTTGGTTTTAATAATTTCTTTGAGGTGAAATTGATACATAAGAAATTTCAAATACTTGTGCAAAACTTGAAAAGTTTGCTATATCTGCACCATGAACTACACTTAAGCTAAACAGTAGATCTCAAACTGGTCTTTTTGTTTTGTTTGCCTTTTTGTAATCCCTGGTTCCCATCCTCTATGCCTCTGACTGGTTTCCTGCCACTGCATTTTTGAGAATTTTATGTAAATTAAACAATAGAGCATGTATTTTTTTTTCTGGTTTTTCATTTTCAATCAGAATAACTATTACGAATTCTTGTATGTTGTATGTATCAAGTATGATGCATCATTACTGTTATGATGTAGTATTTTGTTGTACAGATGCATTGCAATGTATTCATTACTGATAAATATTTGAATTGTTTCCAGTTTGGGCTCCTATAAACACTCCCCTAAAACCTTTTATGGGGCTCGATGCTTTCATTTCCTGTAATAAACTATCTTAGAGAGAATGACTAAATCATACAATAGGAATATGTTTAACCTTTTAAGAACTTTTTGAATTGTTTCACAAAATAGATGCCAGCTTACATTCCTATCAACAGAAATGAGAGTTCTAGATCTTCTCCCTCTCAACACACAGAGCCAATCTTACACATTTTGGCTATTTTAGCACACGCACATTTCTCCAGTGATGATTGATATTAAGGATAGTGAACCTCTATGCCATCATTCTCTTCACTGGTCAAGGATCTGCTTAAATCTAAGTTTTTTAAATTGAGTTATTTGCTTCCTTATTATTTACTTTTAAGAGTGGGGTACATTCTTGATATGAATTGTTTATCAGATGTATGACTTGTGAATACTTCTTTTCAATTTATGATTAAACTTTTTCATTCTCTTAATAGGGTCTCTTAAAGTATCAATATTCTTAATTTTACAATTAATTTTATTTCTTTTTTCTTTTATGGTTTGAACCTTTAGTATTGTATAACAAGAAAAATTCTCTGCTTAACTCTGTCTTTTGTGTTTTCCTATAGAAATTTTATTATTTTAGGTTTCACATTTGGCTCTGAAATCCATTTTAAATTAATTTTTGGGCATAGTATAAGATGTATATGGAAGTTGAATCTTAAATATGTTGAATATTGAATTATTTCAGCACTACTTATTGAAAAGACTCTCCTTTACATCTAAATTGTCTTTGTTCCATGTTGAAAATCATTTGGCCATATGTGTACAGGTCTTTCTTTTTTGTCTGTCTTACTGCCAATAAGTAATACATGGGTTTCTATAGCTTTCTAGAAAAGTAGAGAAGCTAGGTAGTACAGTGTTCTGTTTTCTTTTTTTTCAAAGTTGTTTGTTCTATTCTAAGTAATTTTCATATATATTTATTTTAGTAAATTTATTCATGTATACTATTTTCCTATTACATAATATTTTGCTTTGTGAATATTTCAAAATTGTTATATTCATATATATATATATATATATATGACTTGTTAATGTTATCCTATTTGGAATATCACTGGCCTACTCTTGAACACTTACAAGATTTTCTTGTACATATTCTTAGTAGCACACTTGCTCAGTTATGTTTGTTAAACTTCAACTTTATAGAATATTGTTGAATTGTTTTCCAAAGCAATTGAGCTAATTTATGCTCCCATCAGCCACTTAAGAGATTCTGGTCGCCTTCATGCTCCAGTATTTGGTGTTGTCACACTGTAATTTTGCCAGTTGACCAACCATACTCTGATACTGTTATCTGTAGCTATCTTGATTTATATTTCCTTAGATGGGATTGGGTGACTCTTCAGACTCTTATTGGCTGTGGGTTCCTGTTTCTGTAATATCACTGTTCTTGTTCATTATTTTATGATGTTCCAATATATCCTCGTGTATGCAGTATTTATTCAAACCTTTAGCCATTTTCTTCCTGTTGTAGTGGTTAGTATTTTTTTTCCATGGATAGAAGTTCTTTATTTTTAAAAATAGCAACCTTATGTAGTGCTCAGTGAGTTGAAGTAGGACTTCGTTTTAGTTTTCTTTAAAACATTTTTTGGTGAATAGAAATTTTAAAATTTTAATGTAGTTGAATTCATTTTCACATTGTTTTCCTACTATGGTTTCTATCTTTAATTTTCATGCTACTTTTTATAATTTTGAAGTCACCAAGCTTCTAGAATTTCTTTTCTGAATTTGTTAATAGGTTTGTTTTAGCTTTTGTCAAAATAGCATTTTATATTTATGCTTAAGTTCTTATAAGTCAAATTATTTTCACTCTAGATTACAGATTCATTAGTTTGCAACAAAGTTTTATGTCTTCAGTTTCCCAAATTACAGAAGATCTCTAAGGAACTTTAAATACGTGTATTTGTATCAGCTTTCTTCTGTCTTATTATTTAAGATCTAGTGCCCAGGAAAGGCAAAACCTAGGTGAACATCAGCCTCACAGAGGCTTGTATTAAGCTACAATGTGGAGTTTGCTATGTACTGCGTCGTTGAAAATTTATGTACCTCCTCTGCGTATTTTAGAAGCATCAGATATGTGCGAAGCCAAAAGCTGCTGTGGTGTAAATGTGCCACCAGGATCCATTTCCAAACACAGCTCGCTCCTGCCAAGGTCAGCACCACCAGGCCTGCTGTCGCTGAAGTAACCAGAGAACCCGGATTCCTCACTCAGAAGTGAAGCCAGTTCTGCAGCATGGTGTTTAAGTCCTTTTTGTCCCATTCTTTCTTTTCCATAATAACAATAGCTTTTGCTTATCATTCTAAAACCACCGTGATTACCTTCTTCTAGAAGTTCGAAAAGAGAGGAAAACAGTTGCATTTTCCCAGAAAATAGCAATTTCCTCTTATAGCACATTTTATTTTTATAGAAGCTGAGAAGGGAGTGTGACATCTTCAGTTTTCTGCACAGTGTAGATTCATTGTTGAATTCAATGCCAGAGAGCTTGGCTGCTTGGACCTGAGCTGCAGGTAGAGGAGTAGCTTCATTACCTACTCATTTAATTAACCAAGTATGCTTAATAGCTGGCTTTTCTTGCCTCTGTGCGAGTGAACTAACACTGCCCTTAATATATAGAATCAAGATAATTCTATATTGCAGGGTTTTAAAAGCTGAGCCAGCCAAATGTGTACATGGAGAAATGAAGCCAGATTCAGGGTGACAGAACTTACAGAATCAGTTTAGTTTTATTTCAAGCATGAGTCCCAAATGTGAACCTTTTGACCTGAGTACTTCATCCTTAAATGGTAAACTAAACATTCATGAAAATTTAATGGGGAGGAAATTAGTACCTTCTTATGTTTCAGACTGTGAAATGGCACCGGGAGCACCTCAGGGACAGGCGACGGGTGCGGATGTGCTAGGTACCACCTGAAATCTTTCCCCTTTCAGCTGCAGCCCCTCTGGAGCCCGACAGCTGCCCCCAGGACCTGCTGCCAAGACGCCCCCAGAATGCCACCCAAGAAAGGTATTCAGTATAGTGATCTGTTTGGGAGTTTTAGACCTTACTGAGTGTTGGAAGTTTGTTTGCAAAGTTTGTTTTGTAATTTTTATCTCTCTTGCAGGGCTTTCCTTCCTTCTATGTTTTCTGTGGATAGATCTCTTTGTTTCTTGAAAAACTGGGAAGGGTTTAATATTTCTTCAAATTTTTTTCTCTTATGGATGGCTGATTTCATCAGCCAGCAAGTGTCTGAATTTACCTTTCTTTCATTCAGAAAGTCAATGGGAAAAGTACAATACATCAAGAATCCAGGGCAGCGATTCAAATTCCAGCTACCCTGGGAGGCTGGGGCCGTTTTGCTATATTGGTGTAGGACACAGCTTCAGAAAGGGGAACTGTTCTACTTCTGATTATGCCTGAAATTCTGAATTAAGCTGAGGAGCAGAGGAAATAGGTTAAGACAAGAAAATCAAGAAAAAAGATGTAAAGGTGTATTGTGGGAGGTATTTATGTGAGGGGATGAGAAGTGTCATAAAAATTTTTTTTGGTTGCTATGACTTGCACGGAGTACATTTTCAGTAATATGTAGATAATGTGCTGTGGGTTTAGCAGTCCTTCTGTGATGTTTATGTAGCATATATTCGAATCTGTTTTTAGCAACATTTCAATCTCCAAGACAGACAGGTCGAATTTTCAAATAAGAAAAACCTGGACATATCTATTTGTTTTTCAGTATAGTGCATCCAGTCCAGATAGTTTTACCACCAGCCATTTCTTCAGATGATTCACTTAACCTTAGAATGAAAGTGGAGATGGACACCTCAGTTAGAGATAATCTGTGAAAGCCATCCAGTCTCAGGCCAGTATCTTGGGAATCTGAGCGGTACTCTATTTAATATGCTCGGTCATTTCATTAGCTTCCAACATCTGGAGAGCTGTAGGAGTATCATCTCTGACGCAAGTTGTTGCTTTCAGAAAACAAACACAAAAACGGTTTTTGTGAAATTTTACATACTTATCTCACAAAACTACTGAAAATAACCCAAACTTACATATTATCCTAGCAGGATGGATTTGGCTTTTCAATATAAGGGCACAAGTCAGATGTTAAGTAAGATTTCCTTACTTGGGGTTCAAAATTTCCTCAGGTTAGTTGGGTAGCTATGGTGCTGTTGAGAAGCATTTTTGAAAAATTAGATCTACAATTCTTACAAAATTTGCAGTAAAACTTCTCAGGCTATTTTAAAGGCTGAACATTTCATTAAATAAGGATGGAACTTGCTGATTATTAATGCTTTCTATTTATGTCATTGCCTTTATAGAAATAAATATTTTAAAGTTTAATAGCTTTGTTTATTTAGCAAAGTTACAGAAAAGCTATAGCATTTAGAAGAATATATCAAATAACACACCAACAAAACCATAGAATCTCACCCTAGAAAGATCACCATTAGCCTTTGGGTAGCTTCCAAATATTTCTTACAAATGTTTGATTTATACTTAAGTAGACTTGATATAATGTAAGTATATATAAAAACATCACATGGTGCCTCATAAACATTTAGTATATAAAATTATAATTTATCAATTAAAAATAAGATGAAATTTATAAGATGAAATTAATACATAAATTAATAGTTTTGTAAAGATAAGAAAGAGAATGGTAGCATTGCCTCTTTTTATTTCCCTAATATCATCACAGCAGAACAATATTTCCATCACTGCGTACTCTTTACATTCCACGCTCTGAATAATGTGCCATGAAGAGTCACCTTGACTGTGAGACGTCAAGCAATGACAAATGGTTTCTTTCCACGGTGGCTACCACTGCAACAACCTATGAAAGGCCAGAATAGGTCAACTGGGAGGTACATTACTCAATATATTTAAATGCTGTACACAGGACACATGGAAAAATTGTGGCTATGGTAACGTGTGGAGAGATGAAGGCTGTCAAATTTATTTGTCTGGATCCCTCTAGTCTCCTGTTTTCACTCTACGGCGGGCTAATACACTTCTGAGCTGTGACACGCGGTTCTTTCATTTGGGCGTGACTGTAAGATGCCAGAGTCCACACACAGTAGCTCGAGGTTCCATCCAAGGCTGCAGGTAGCACAGGCCCTAAAATCTCTGGGCTTGCAAGTTATCACCTCTGTCATATGCTTAGCACTTGAAGGGCAGATAACTGATTGGACTAGGATGCCATCAGAAGTTTGGTAAGAAATATAACTTTTGAGGAAATTTAATGAGGTACTTGAGGTTATGTGTGATGCTGAAAGGGGGACACCAAGAAGTATTAGGATATAGAAATATTAGTATTTGATGGGGCTGAATATGAGAGGATGAGGAGATGAAAATTTCAGGAGTGACTACTACGTTTTTGGCTTGGTCAACTGAGCAGAATGAAAGGCCAATATATAAATATGGAGTCAGTGGCACCTTGTGGGGTTGGAACATACTAGAATTACGTGGCTTCTTCTCAAAAAGCACATAGAATGACAAAGGAAGAGGGTCAATAACGGAATCTTGGACACCTCCAGCATTTAGTGGTGGCTAGAAGATGAGCTCAGGAAAGAAGCCAAAAGTATGGGTCAGAGGGATGAACCGAAGTCCGGAAGAAGAGAGTCGCAGAAGCTATGGGAGCAGTGAACTCCAGAGCTGTAGTCAGCAGAGAACATCAGGAAACACTGCTTCTGTAAGGAAATGCAGGCCAATCACAGGGTGTGAGTGAAAATGGAGGTGATTCAGAGCTGAAGTTGAGATCTCTCTCAGTCCCTCAGCGTAATTTGAATCAGATAAACAAAATACTTACTAGAAACAGCCTTTAGAAACTTTTCTTTAATGCATCATCAATAGATTCAATGATTTACGTGGAAACTATTTACTGGTAAAATAGTCCTCCTTAAAGGTTAAACGAAGTAATTGTTGTGAAACCCATTTGTAAACTTCAAAATGCCATACAAGATAAAGATATCAAGAGATACCAGTCTTCCCTACTATTGTGTAACCATAACCATTTTTTAACAGTCCAAAAATACAACTCATTCTGTTTGTATAAATCCTATAGAATTGTAAATTTGTGGTGCTCTCATGATGTTTTATTATATTTAAAAATGAATAGTATTTCCAACAAGAGAAGTTTGTGTGTGGCCATGTGGATTATAATTCTCATAGAAATTCTCTCCTTTCGTCTGTTTATTCACTTGATCACTTAGTTCGCTAACCGAACAATCCATTTTATGCCCTGTTTATATACTCCAGGAGGGATGTGATGCCATAGAGTCCCTCCTTTCAGTGACCTTGTAGACAGATGTATTCAGAGTATTGCTAAACAAGTACTGGAATAAGACAGGGAGAGACATTGTGTTCCAAGTGCAGATGGTCTTTAAACTTCACCACAGGGTGTTATTATTTCTCACCCAGCCTGAGTTTTAGGACTTCTCGGAGGTGGACACCTCTTCTTGGGTTTGAAATACGACCTGTGAGGACTAATGGACAGCATCCATTTGGCTGATACAGTATCAACCTTTTTTCCATTTCTTATGTATTTAAAAATTAACCCTATTGAGGTAATTTAGGAGTAATACCTCTGTCATACACATTTAAAATGTACAGTCTGAGAAACTCTGTTAAGTGTTTTTATGTTTTTTATCATAACCATAAGAAAGCCACTGTCCTAAAATGTTTCTTCATACTCTTTGGCATAAATCAACAGATTCTACCTTTTATATACTCTGCGCCTGGAGCCAACTGCTACCATGCTTTGGTCGTAGATTATTTTGCCATTTTTAGATTTCCATATGTATGGAAACCTACAGTAAGTACTCTTTATGTCTGGCTTCTTACAAAAAGATTCATCCACATTGTTAGGGAGTCAGTAGCTCATTGCTCTTTAGTGTTGAGGAGTTTTCTACTGCAGGGATGTTTCATAGTTCATTTATCCATCCGCCTCTTGATGAGCATCAGAGTTGTTATCGATTTAAGGTGGAAGAAAGCTGCTATGAACATGTGAGTGAAACTCTTTGTGTGAACATGTGGGTTAGAATTGCTGGATAATCTGGTTGTGTGTTTTAATAACATCATTTGCAATGGTGAAATTGTTCTCTAAAGTGGTCTTGCTGCTCTGCATTTTTGCCAGTGATGTTTGAGATTTCCAGTTAATCCATATCATTGGTATTGTGAGTGAATCTTTCCAATTTTAGTCTTTTGAGAACGTGTGTAGTGGTACCTCTACACTTTTGAGAACGTGTGTAGTGGTAAATTATGGACTTAATTTGCATCTTGCTGGTGACTCATGATATTTAATATGCGTCTATGCCATTTTCTTTTGTACCCTTCTGTTGTTTGTACTTTATTCTCTTTTCTTACCTTCATATGGATGGAGTATTTGTAATTCCATTCTTTCTACACTTTTGGTATTTTAACTACGGCTTTTAAATGTGTTTCCATGTTAGAGGACTTATAATATTAATCTTTAGCTTAATCATGGTTTGTCTTCAATTTCATATATTTCAAGAATTCTATATGTTTATCTATGCTACTTTTGAATGTTTCCGCTGATTGATTCAACTACTCTCCTGGTTAGGAGTTATTATTTTCCTTATTTCTTTGCTTACTTTATAATTTTTATTCAGTATTGACATACTAAATTTTATCCTTATGTCCTAGGTTTTTCTGTATTCCTTTAAATATTATTGTAATTTTTTTCTATTTTGATTCTGGGATGAAGTTAAGTAACTTGGAATTAGTAAGATGCTTTTCAGACTTGCTTTTGAGCTAGGATAAGTTTGGAGCAGGGCTAATTTGACCTAGGCAGTAACTTTTGAGACTTTAAACGATATCTATGAATTGGAGAGTTCCTCTTTTCTGACCAGTGGATAACCTAAACTATTCCCAAACCCTTTGAGTGCCAGGATAGACTTGTCTGTTCAGTCCTCTGTGGTGGGTCTTTTCTGGGTCTTGGAGGCTACCATACTTGTGTGCACAAAGCAGCACTTAGCCATGCATGGAAGGGATTTAAAGATCTC